CCCGACCCCAAACATGACCCCAATAATTTGCAGTACATCTTTCAGAACGTTACCCCTTGTCTTTGGATTCCTCTCTTTTCTTTTTCCCTAATTTCGAAAGGCCCCAAACACAAGGGTTTCCGTCATCTTCAGATCCCTGCATCTGCGCCTCCGGTAAATCCCTCTTCTTTCTCAGGACCATCAGTTTTTCTCTTCTATTTGTCTCTATCACAGCTTTCGTACCTGCGCTAATCTGCTAAAGTATTTTGTTTTCTTTACAATCAGCTGAAGTTTTGATCACAAATATTACTTCAGGCTGTGACCTTTCTATGAATTAATTTTGTTTTTTGAATAATGGATTAATGGGTGTTTGTTAATGGATCTTGCTTTTAATGGGTTCTTTGTTGCCGAAATACTCTATTTTGCAGGATTTGTAAATTACGAAAATTAATTGGCGATTATAGAGTTGTATTGGTTTTGGTAGTATTTTGTGTGCGGATAGGACTTCAACACTGGGTTTTTAAATTTTAGTTTTTCCTTTGATCAGCACATACATCAGTGTGCTTGGCTGGAATGGAGTTTTAAACTCCTGACCTTGATACCAGAATCAAAGAACTGAGTTTTGAGTTGCTTTATTGGTTCACGTTATTTTTTTCTGGTTGTATTTCATTCATCTCTCTTTTGCATGGGGATGGAGGGAAGGCATTTTAAGGTAGTTTCATGCTTCATGCTGCAGTAATTGGCTATTTTGGTTAGTGAGATCATTTGGTTGCATTTTATGTTTCCCATATTTTGAGATTAAAATCACACAGCTCTTTGGACATTTAAATCTAGCTACATATCTTTCTCAAAAAAAAAAAAAAAAGAGAAAAGAAGTGAGTGCCTGTTTTGATGAAATATATGATTTTGCTCACTGATGACTGTGTAAAGATTTAATTTTTCTTGCTGATGTGCGACACATATTCATGAAGGTGAAAAAAATGGCTTGATGACGTCTATGCTTCTCTTTTACACCTCATTGTGCTACCATCAAAATTTTGTTAATTGCCTTAACTTTGTAATTAGGAATTTTATGGCCTATCTACATGTTAATTAATGCCAGATAGAAGCTATTTTTACCCATGGTCTGAAAATTTGGAGGAATTCCTCATTCGATTTTCATCTTTGTTGTTCATATAACATATCTCTGATGCATTTTCTTTCATTTGAACCTCAGAAATAAAATCCAGTATGGTGAGGGGGAAGCTCATATTGATCTGCCAGGTCGGTGGTGAATTTGTGACAAACAATGATGGATCCTTGTCATATGGTAGAGGAGATGCACATGCGTTAGATATCAGTTCTGAGACAGGCTTTGATGATCTCAAGGTCAAATTGGCTGAGATGTGCAACTTCGAATGTGATTCTTTGTCCATAAAGTATTTTCTCCCAGGGAACAAGAGAACACTTATTACTATAGCCAATGACAAGGACCTAAAAAGAATGAAGGATTTTCATGAGAACTCAGTAACTGCAGATATTTTTGTTATGGGGAAGGAAGGATTTGATCCTAGATCTCTTGACCTGAATGCTAATAGGTAAGTTCTCTCAATCTCCTCTTTTTGAGTGTATCTATCATCCATGGTTTTAAGAGCATAAACTGTAGCTGCTTTTCTCCACTGTCATTGCACGTCAAAGCAACATCTATGTCTTGTTGAAAGTATCCATGCTGTATATGTTGAGTGATTTGGTTGCCCCTTTGTTTTATAAGTGCATTTTGATTGGTCATAGCTTACATAATCATTGCAGGGAAACTGGAATAAAACAAGCTGAAACTGTAACTGCTGCTGGGGCATCTCGATCTGCTGCAAACACCCCTACTACTTCAAAAGTTGCTCCCCGGAAGAAGTCTCGCAATGCTAAACCTGCTGACTCTGTAAATGCTGTCAATGAAACACCCCGAAGCCACTCTAGATCAGCTGTTACCTCGAAAAAAAGTCGTGCTGCTCGTACTGCTTCTGATGATGGGGTTGATGTTAATTTGACCCCAAATGGTACTGAAACTACTGCTGATGCAACTGACCACAGCCCAGATACAATTGACATGAGTGCTACTCCTGCCGATACTGTTAAGAAGAGAAGGCGAACTGCATCCTGGAGATTTGGTGCAAATGGTCCTGCCATTGTTTCTGTTACAGAAGATGATGAGGAGAGTCAGGAGATGACAAAAAGTACACCCCGGAGAAAGAATAGCAGAGCTCGTTGGCTTGATTCAGTCACTAAAGATGTGGAACAGCAGATTGATAGTGAATCTTGGAGTGATGATTCTGATTCTGACTCACTTGTTCCCAGCTCTAGTAATAATTCAATAAGGAAACTAGTTGCTTCATGGAAGAAAGGTATCACTGGTGAAGGCCAGGATTTCAAGGGCGTGCAGGAATTTCGTGAAGCACTGCAGAAATTTGCCATTGCACACCGATTTGGTTACAAGATGAGAAAGAATGATGCAACCAGAGTAAGTGGCTTCTGTGTAGCTGAAGGTTGTCCCTGGAGAATAGTTGCGTCTTGGGTTCCATCTGAAAGAGTCTTTAGGATAAAAAAGATGAATGAAACACATACATGTGGTGGGGAATCTTGGAAGTCTGCTCATCCAGCAAAAAATTTGTTGGTGAATATCATCAAGGATAGGCTAAAAGACAGCCCTCATCACAAACCAAAGGAAATTGCTAAAGGCATTCTTCAGGATTTTGGGCTTCAGCTAAACTATTCGCAAGTATGGCGTGGAATTGAAGATGCCCGGGAACAACTTCAGGGTTCCTATAAAGAGGCTTATAATCAGTTGCCTTGGTATTGTGAGAAGATAGAAGAGGCAAATCCTGGCAGTTTTGCAAAGCTTCTAATTGGTGATGAAAAGAAATTTCAGCGTCTTTTTCTGTCCTTTCATGCCACCATACATGGTTTCGAAAGTGGTTGTCGCCCACTTCTTTTCCTTGATGCAATATCATTAAAATCAAAATACCATGAGATGTTGTTGACAGCCACTGCACTTGATGGCGATGATGGTATTTTCCCTGTTGCATTTGCCATTGTTGATGTTGAGAATGATGAAAGTTGGAGGTGGTTTTTGGAGCAGTTGAGATCTGCAGTCTTGACTTCTCAGCCCATAACTTTTGTCTCAGACAAAGACAAGGGTTTAATGAAGTCTGTGCTTGAAGTGTTTGAGAATTCTCACCATGGTCATTCAATATACTACTTGATGGACAGCTACATAAGAAACTTGAAGGGCCCTTTTCAAGGAGAGGGAAGGGCTTCTTTGCCTGGAAATTTGTTGGCTGCAGCCAGAGCAGTCCGACATGATGGCTTCAAGATGTTTGCTGAGCAAATTAAACGAGTTTCTTCAATTGCTTATGATTGGATCATGCAGAATGAGCCCGAGTATTGGGCAAATGCACTTTTCAAGGGTGAGCTCTTTAGTCAAATAACTTTTGATGTTGCAGAATCATATGCTAATTGGGTAGAAGAAGCTTGGGAACTTCCAATCATACAGAAGGTGGAATTTCTAAGATGTAAGGTAATGGAGCTCATAAATAGTCGTCAAACAGATTCAAGTAAATGGTCTACTAAACTTACACCTTCAAAGGAGGAAATTGTAAAAGAAGAAAGTTTTAAAGCACGGTATCTGAAGGTACTATTCTCATCTGATACACTGTTTGAGGTTCACGATACCTCAATTAATGTTGTAGATCTTAATAAACGGGAGTGTAGTTGTGTGACATGGAAAGCAACTGGGCTTCCTTGCTGCCATGCTATTGCTGTCTTTAACAGCACAGGTCGGAATCCTTATGATTATTGTTCAAGATATTTCACAGTGGATTGCTTCCGTACTACATACTCCGAGTCAGTAAACCCAGTGCCAGCCATTGTTAATCCTGGGGTGAGAGAAGAAGCCATGCCAGATGATGAGCAGGTACTTCCTCCAGGCAACATACGGGCTCCACCACCAATGAAGAAATATAAAAGGAGCAAATCGCACGATATCATCAGAAGATCAGTTTGCTGCACCAGGTGCAAGGGAGTTGGGCACAACAAGGCTACATGCAAAGAAACCCTGTAGAGAAAATGTTTCATCTTATCATACTTTGTCTGGAGGTTTCTTTCTTTTTAACATTTCATCTCGAAGGTGTCTCCATTTTTACTATAAGTTTTGTACATTAACAGTGGTTTTCTACTTCTGTTTATTAGGCGATTAGATCTTGGTTTATTAGTTAGGGTTTATAAAATCCCTTTGAAGATCAAATTAGGTTTGTGATGTGCACTGAATATGTGATTTCAAGAGCCTTTCAGTATCACCAATTAGCCTCGTGAACCTCTTTTGTTACATCATGTACCTTCTTAAGGTCTGTCTAGCTCTTATCATCTAAATTCAGTTTTAATTTGTTAAGAATGCGAAACCTAAATTCACCTGTTTGGTTTTATAAGCGTATGATATTAATTTGTTATTATAGTTTTAGAGGGTCTAGTTGTTAGTGATTTAGTGCTAATATATTTAAGAGGATATATTTCCGAAGGATACTTATTTCACACAGAAAAAGGGGAAATTTAGACCACGCAAAGTGTGGAAGAAAAATTAGTTTAAACGCTTAACTGATTTGAGCTGCCACTTGATTTACAAATCAATCCCATCTTTAATGTTTCTGATCTATACAAATTTGTGGGATTTGATGGCCAAGTTGAGGCGCTTATAGATCAAGCCAAGCAAATTCCAAGAGGAAAGCAAGAAGTAATTCAGAAAGTGCTTGACATCAAGTCAAGTCTAGAAGGGGCAACTCATACAAGCGATTTTTGGTGAAATGTTTTGGTAAACTTGCATGTGAGAGAGATTGTCTTAGCTCGATCTCACATCCCTAAAACTGCGATCATGGTAAGAGATTGACAGAGTAGTGAGAAATTACAGGAACTTAAAAAATTGGGATTATTACAAAGAAAATATTATAGCATCTTATTTTCATTATATATGTATGTGTGTATATATATAATATTATGCTCCAAGAATGCCTTATCGTTAATGATGTGCCATCTTTCAAATAGATAAAGTAAATAATAAAAAGAATTAAATAATTTCTAAACAATTGAAAACAACACAAATGAAAAATGAGGTTTTTAATTAGAGAAGAAATCAAGAAAAAGCCTATCTACATCCTCATCAAGAGTCTCTTAGATCTGAACTACAAATCTTTAGAATCATAGACTTCATTCCAAGAACGCTGACAGCAGAACAGATCAACTACGCACAAATTTGTTAAAAATAAAAAATAAAAAGAAGAGTAAGGATATTTGCATACAAATCTTATACATTATACTTATACATAATTTTAATTATTTATTTCTTTATTTTCAATATTTGATATATATTTACTTTTTATCATATTTACTAACTATAATTATTTTTTTCATCTAAAAAATAGTAATAAATTTCAATTATTAAAAATAAAAAAATATATGATTAATATTTTATATAAATTTGATACATAAAATTTATATGTAAGTAGATCCATATGTCTATAACCATGAAGAATCCTCTTTCTATTAACAAACTGATAAATTTCACAAGCCGGTATCTTTCATGGATTCTCTGTTTAGTGGCAAAGTTTAACAAAAACTTTATGTTCTTTATATAATTGAAATTGATTTAGGTGCATCACAAACTTAACTCACTGAACAGTAGGAGCATTATCAAATCAAAAGCTTAACAATGCATATTAAAATGACTGCAAAATTAGTTGTTCCATAAACACTGCAAAATTCCAATCTTCCTACTAGAATATAGCTATTTTTGTTTCCAAATATCCCTAAATTCACCCATCCAAAAACCATAATTCTCATCTTGTGAAGACAAGAACCTTAAGAGATCAAGCTCACTCCAATCACACGTGATTCATAAAAGAGGAGGACCACGGTATTTTGCTCTTTCCAGCTCAATTATAAGGATAAGAGATAAATCAACAGACACATATAAAGCCCTTAAAAGGAAATTGTTGTATATTTATCATCAAATGCAACGTTATCAACTCATTTGAAAATAGTAGGCTAAAGGCAACCCATTCTACTGAGAAAAACACTCAAAATTGGAGTGATGGCCTTCTATTTATAAATATATATAAAGAAATATAGATTAGCAACTGCATCAACTCAACCTTTTAATCAAACCGGCACAAATACATTTCTACATTTTTTGGCAGATCACCCACTAAATGACAATACCATAGAATTGAACCAAGCAAGTCAATGAAATGCTTAGGATCCCTTTCATCTATGCAAGATAATCACGACAATTTTTTTTTTTCTAATCAGCACGAATCATTGATTTTTTTTTTCTTGTTTGATAGAAAGAAATAAAGGATCATGACAAATACTTAAAAATTAACAATGAATCACTTTACCAAACAAAACTTTTAGTAGGATACATATGGTTATCCCTCAGCGCAAAAGCAACTGAATTGACCAAGTTTGTCCCATGGAACTTCCTGAGAGTTTTGACACCTAGTGCACAGGAGCAGATGAAGTCAATCGCCGCCATGGAGTAGTTGCAAGAACCCAAAACCACATTGATACATACGGCTCAAACTATTTTATGCCTTTACCGACTTTTGCTGACTTTATAATCGAGTTGCTTGAAAACTCCTTCAGCCTAATTCACCTACCCTTATTTATAGAACCAATGTAACACAAAACCAATTATCTTCAGAGTTCTGAGCCAAACAGAGCTCTGTAAACTGTTACATAAAACAGTTGTCCAATATTCATGAGTCCAAGACCTGGAGAAATTCAAAAATTGATTTATTAAACTCCTTTTTTTTTATTGGGTCAGCACCTTGTTGTTCATCTGATTCACATGCATTTGCTGAGAAATACATCCACACAAATTTGAAAGCCAATAAATAGAATAATACATGGAGAAACCACAACAGTATCTAAACAGCAGAATAGAAATATAGCAGGAGTTTTTACCTTTTGTACTGCATGGTCAAAGTCATCAACACACCAAAGTCCCTCTCAAAGTGCAACCAAGCTTGGCATATGTCCTGAACAATTCTGTTTTTAGAAAGCTAACAAATTACACAGCAATTGAATAGATATTGATTGGAACAATAGGTTCTTGATTTCACACTTGAAAAAAAATATTACTTTAGTCATAATAGCAGCTACCATGAGAGAAGTATAATTAAATGAGTTGGAAAGGATTGGTCATGTGTAATATTAATGTTAATTGTGACGAATATGGTCATATTTATACAACGGGAAAATGAAACCCCAGACCAAGATAAATTTAAATAGATCAGGCATGCAATTTCAAGAATAGAAATTTCTATCAAGAGATAACACCACTTTGCATGATCAAGAATCACAGAATTTAAGTAAGTCAAACCATGATTAAGACATTCATTAATGAACTATGATCCAATTCAAGATCAAAAGTAAATTCGAATGAAATCAAATTTTACTCAAAACAGGCATAAGAATGTGAGGCTTTCTCAAAAAGGTAAAGGTATATGGCATGAATGCTAGAACCAAAAAAATGATACTGCTTCTCATCATATTATTGGATATTATTGGAGTAACCTCCTTCAAAAGAGGTCCATTCCTGAAGAATCTCAAAAGCAAATTTGAAGATCCAAACAAAAAGAAATAAATGCATCTGGATATGAAAAATCTGTGTATCTGTAACTCCCACATTAGCAAAAGCTCACTGTAACTCTTCTTCAAGTTGGGCACATTGAATCTCTACTTGATTCTAGCTACTAAACATATCCCAAAATAGACAAACAAACAAAGGGATTCAGTTGATTCATTATTTTATAACATCATTTATTCATGTCACCCATTAAAAAGTTCAGTTGTCTTTTAAGTCCCTGCTCTTTTATCTTTCTCAAACCCAACAATGAAATAAGCCAAATATAACCAACAAAATCAGATAGAAAAAGTAAAAACACCATCTTGGAATCCTTTTCAGAAAGTGGAGTACAGGACCACAAATGGGTGAACTTAGCGTACATAAAAAGACCCAGAGAAGAGATTCAAATAATGAAATTGTCAGCTAATGCTACCTACTCTAAAATGCAACCGTTTTACCTGCACCCTGTCAGTCAAACAACAACCCAAACAATTCTCAACTTTTTAACCATTTTCGCCTAAAAAATTCATCAGATCAAGAGAAAGCCCATTACCAACATTCCAACTGAAATCAGTGAATTTAGAAAAGGGAAAAAATGAATAAAAATTAAGATTGACATATGTAAATTACCTGGGAAGACGTGCACAAAATTGGGATTTAGAGACAATGGTTTGTCTAGCTGGAAATCTGCTACCATGCTGAGCATAGGTTTCCTTACCAATTCTTGTCTGGGTTCCCAACTACAGTACAAAAAGCATTAAATGAATAAATCACATACATGGCTCGACGCCTGGAATTGAAGTATTGATGGTTTTGAGAAGGACAACGCAATTAAACTCATCTGAATCATGTGAGGAGGAAAAAGAGATCACTGTCACAAAGGTCAGATTCTAGATGGATAGGTGCACCATAACTCCATAATAGGGATGGAATAGGCCACTCAAATATATCAGCCACCACAATTCTTCTTCTTTCTGCTTCAAACCAATAGATCAGGACCAAAATTAATATCAAACGGAAGGACAGAGTAAAATTCAGAAAAAGTTTAAACATAAATGGCAGGCTGGAAAATGACTGGAGCGCAAATAAATTGACATTTATCAAGATTCAGAATTTCCAAAGTTAGAAAGAAAAATAAATTCAAGGCTAAAGAGATTAAAATATCGAGTTAGCTTAGCTTCACATGAAGTTCTAAATCAACCTTAGTTACTTGAAGAACAATAGTGTAGAGAGGGTGATTGCTTATTTCGACAGACTAAAGATTTCCAACATGATAGACATAAGAGAGAGGCATGTTCTTTTCACTTGAGTCCAGTAGACCAACTGTGACAGCAATTAACAGTCCAATATACCCATCATACATGTTTAGTCAAACATAATTTCTTCCCCATAATGGCCTTCCAAATCCAAAATCCACAGGCATTCTGCTTAAGAAGAGCAATGAGAAAATTAAGACAATGGCAAAGTTTTGCAAAAGGTAGTTTGGTTGGTAAAGAATACCAACTAATTTAAAAGATTTGATCATATGAAACATATGAAATTTTCATCCCAATTGAATGAATTACCTAATTTCAGTACCTGTGTTGCAAGTAGCTGCCTCTGGCATCCAAAACATGTGCCACACTCTAGCATACTTGTGGTCTAACCTTCCATCTTCAAGCAACCAAATAATTTCCCTTTGCACTCTAGCACTAGACCTACTCGAGAGAATTGGGTGAGAATCTTATAATAGAAGAACTTAGTTAAATACAAAGTAGGGCATAGTCTATGGTGTTGGAAATCAATTCATAGTTCATTATTTAAAAAGGGAAAAAAGAAAAAGAGGGGAAAACACACATTATTTCAAACAAACTCAGATATCATCATCCTGGAAATCGTAGATGTTATAACTTATCAATCATTAAGTATAGCAGAACAAACAAAAAAAGCAACTTAAATAAAAGAGCAGACACCAAAAATGAATTATAAGGGATAGCCACCAAGTACAACAACTATTAGAATCTGCTGTATATTCACTACTGCATTGCAGTCTTTATGGTCAATTCCTCCAGAAGAAATCAGTCCTGGATGCTACAAAACCCTTTATCCTTATTTCATGTTTCAGATTGAATTGATTGTCAGCTGCTAACCACCTAGTTCTAGATCATTCATACACATAGAGGGTATGCTTTATCTATTCCTTTACAATAAATCATGTGGAAGAATGGAAAATTTTCTATAGAAATCATTGTGACTTAAAAAGAGCTTTCTTGGTTTAAAAAAGAAGAGTATTCTTTCCCATGAGTTGCACAAAAAAGGAACAAAAGAGCACTGAAACATAAATCAAAAACCAATTAAATTGTAAATTCTGCAACTAATAAAGGTAGAACCATACCTTCCCTGTTTCCACTTCCTTGACTTTCATGCTTAACATGTCTGAATTTTAAACATGGTTTTTTTTAACTCAGAAGGAAACATTGAAGGAAAAATTCTCAAAAAAATAGTTATAGTGAGAGAAAATCGACAAAAAAAAAAAAAAGACTTTCTTATACATAATAAAATTCCAACTTGCAAAGTAAGTCAATTACAATGATGTGTTTGTATAGTGGAGTGGGGGAGGAAAAAACACTGAATTAATTACAAATAGATGAAAAATAAGAGAAAAAATAATAATTCTATGGATGAGCATTAAAACAGAATAAGTGAAGAGGGAAGATTGAAGGAAAATGGGGGGCAGAAAAAAGACCGACAGAGAAAGGACGACCTTAGAAAACTGGAGAGGAAAATTAAGAATGAAATCACCTGTAACAATGCCATACATTCAAGCATGTTATGAGGATTCTGTAAATCTTGAGATTCCTGACCAAAATAAATACAATTCTCTAGTTACTTTGAGTAATTGCAAAGCAGAAACATGTTGTATACAAAACAATATTCAAAACATGAAACAAAAGCACATTTAACCTCTAGCATTGAGTACACTCAAATCTAGAATAATAAGCTGCATACTTAGCAATCTAACCAAGAGATCAAGAGATCAACAACATGATTGCTAAAGTAAAAGAACAGCAAACAAAAACACTAAGTAGGAATGTCATGGTAGAATTTTAGTTCCACTATTGCACGCACAACCAAGGGTAAAAACATAAAGTGGCTGGAAAATTCTGAAACAAATTCATCAATCACCAATATGACAAAAACCATCCCACTTGAATATGAAAATTATGCCCATTCTACAGGCTCCTCAAGAATGGACAGACTTACCTAAATGATTCCCTTGGATATGAAGATACAAAAGAGATAATTGAAATACTCCTATCCCTTCCCCAATTATGCACCCCATTTTCATTATTCAGTACATGTTCATTACAAAGAGGATAAGAACAAATAAGCAACGCATTAACAACCTTTCTCTCCTCTATAATACCAACATTTTTAGACATGTGACACCTGGTATGTTTTAAACCAATAACAGACCTCTCCACAATTTCTTGAAAACAAAATAAAGAAAAAATTAAATCTAAATCTAAAAACAAGCATAATAAAAGTTCTAGCAAAAGCCTACAATTAAATTTTTTACTTAACAAACTAAAATAACACTACTATATAATATGGTAAGTTGCCTGCATCAAACTCAGGCTTAGTTGTTAGATTTTCAACTCCAGCATTCCTCACTGGAAGATTTACTAATGCCTCTATCAATTTTATTGAGAAAGATGATCTTGTGACATGACATTCATATCTAAAAATGTTGATCAAAGTGGATGATTACCACCAAGAAGATAAATTAAGTGAAAAGAAACGGATTTAAGATATGTGGTTTCCAAAACAATAAATTTCACTATCTAGTTCATACAAACTGGAAAGAAAACACAAAAACCAACCAAGGTCCATGGCTGGCCATACAACTATTAATCAAAAAAGAAGATGATTGCCCTAAGCCACATGAAGACCACGACTTAAAAGGTGAACTCTTTTTGATAACCAAGATGATGAAACCATGGAAGGATGAAGACCCAAGTCATGAAATGGTTTTTATTTTCTGTAACAAATAATTAAAGTAGAGAAAAGTTCTCAATCAATATGACGTTAGAGAAGCCCTCCCCATCATCAATTTATTTGCCTAGCTGTGGATTATAAGTTGTTGGAAAGAATAAAAATGGAAAAAACCTGCAAGTTTATGTCAAGTATGAAACCATAAAAGTAACTGAAAAGAAGATAAAAAGAAGGCGCTACCTTTGAAGCTTCTTCTGATCACTGTAGATGAGAGGAATGTAAAATAGTGAAACAGTGATTTCTGTTTCTCAGGTGTTGTGTGTTATGATGAAGACGGTGCTGGAAAAGAGTAGTGAAGGATGGAAGGTTGTCACCTTCACAGTTTTTGAATTTTACAAATAAAGCAAGCAATCAAGGACCTAAAGAAAAAGAGAGAGAGAAATGAAGGGAAAAAAAAGGAAAAAGAGCTAAAACACAGAGAAAAGATGACAGAAGGTTGCTGTTATAAATGGGTACCAAATGGTCCAATTATGATGCAACCACAGAGATTGATTGCCATGATTCTTCTGAAAAAAAAAAAAAGAATTAGTGATCAAACATATAAGCTGCAGTAACATTGGTTAATTATCTGGCTAAATTGGTACCAAGCAGTCCAATTATGATGCAACTACAGATATTGAATGCTATGAATCTTCTCCAAAAAAAAAAAAAAAAGAATTAGTGATCAAACAAATAAACCGCAATAACATTAGATAATTTTAAATACAAACAATGACAACAATCGGAGAGCAGTCATTTCAAATTGAACTAATCATCTAAGCTTTATTAATACAGCCACAAAAAGAGGGCTTATTAATACAGCCACAAAAAGAGGGCAGTTCCAAAAGTTCAACTGCCAGCAAACATCAGATAGGAAGTTTAAGAGTACCTCTCCAAAAAATCAGTATAATAGCAGCATCACATACCATTTAAAACCACAGCAAAAGAAGTAAAGATGTTGAATTGAAGAATATAACAAAAGAAAACCTTTACTGTGAACCTAAATGCAGGCATAAGCCATAAAAATAATAGAAGAATAACATAAAAGGATGGCTAAACAAACACTAAATGCTTAAAAAATCAAACAATCTAATAGAATTTCTCTCCTTCGAATTGAAGACACCAAAAAATCCCTTTGATGTGAGGATTAACCTGGTCTTGAGAAATGGAACAACTTCTGCACTCTGCCCCCAATTTACACACCTCAACTTTGATTATTTTCCAAACCTGGATCAAAATCAACCACCCAAAAAAAAAAAAACTGAAAAATACAAAAATGTAACTATAAGAGCAACAGAATTAAACATCTTCCCATAAGAAATAGAATTAAATGATTGAATTTTGTTTGTGAGTAAAGCAGGTGAATTGAAGTCTTTTAGAATTTTGGATCATTGGCAAATTGTAAAATGTTTGTTTGATGGCTGACTGTAGCAAAAAGATATAAGAATTAGGCTTTAAGTTGATCAACTATTGAAGAAGGCAAATTGAACCACATATGCATAATTTCAAGAAGCTAAAATTTGTTTCAACACAGCATGGTCATGCAACCTTTAAAAGTACCTGAAAATATAGCTAATTAAATAGACTACTTTAAATCCTATATCAAATTTACCATAGTCATCCAAAAAATGCCATAAATGGAAGTAAATGGCCACAAATGACAAATGAATAAACAATGAAAATTAAGAAGCTTCATTTCACCTAAAGCAAGATTCTTATTAAGAAAAAAACAAAAAAGAACTGTTTTTTCCTCCCTTTTAGTTTGAAGAACCACACTCAGAAGTTTCAGAGTTATTCCCCAGAACCATTGCCTTGGGATGAGCTTTCAAGAAATTATTTTAGCTTGACTAAAGAAGTTAAGAGAGCAACAACAATAGTGGAGGTTAATAATAAGAATGAACCAAATTTTTATACAGGGAATCAACTAATTTAAAGGTTAATAATAACCATGGCATTCAATTTCATGAAGATTTAGTTTACCAAAACTTGGAACAAAAAATAAGAAATCTAAGAAATCCTATTAGCCTCAAAATTACACTATACCTACTTTATGTTTTCTTTTAAAAGGAATTAAAAATGGCTTGAATGGCGAACGCTAACACTGATCTTAGTGGTGGTTATCTCTAATGGGGGTACAATTTATAACAATCTATAACTGTGAGGCATGGGTGTGCTGATGATAAAAGAAAGAAAAAATAGATGAGATATCAACAAGCCAAATGAAAGGAAACCAATTTCATAGCACAGGATTCAGAGTACACGGAAAGCACACTAACATTGACAATCAGACAAACAACAAAACATGGGCAACTTGAAGTATAAAATAAAGAAAATAATCCTTTGAACACAGGGTTAAAAAAAAAAAAAAGGAGGTTGCAAAGAGAGGTAATGACCAGAGAAATTAAGTTAGAGAAGTCAGTTTGATCCTAACTTAAAACCAGTAGGTTTGTCTCACATTCTCATAACCTATCATTAAAGATTTATCAGAGTAATATTACAACCATTTAGGCACTCATTCCACCATTTTTTAATCAAAATTATATAGATAGTTTCCAATTAATTATAAATATGGAAAAGTATGACAGATTTCTGTTATGCTTCATCAAAATAAGACTTCCAACATAATTTGCTCTATGTTCTCCCCATTTTCCTCCATCATATAAATAGCCAGTCAGAAAAATGATTTACATTGCTGGATATTCAAATTGCTACAAAAAGATACAAATTCAAATCCAATGAATTACTTAAAGTCAAAATGCTCAAAAACCAAGAAAATAAATCCATAATCCATCAAGAATGAAAAATACTACAAATTGCTCCATGAATTGTGGATTATTCTCCACCACCAAGAAGTTCTCTGTAAAATAAAAACCAGACATAATCAAGAGTCTTAATTTCTCTCTACAGAAACTATATAATAAAGAAATTAACTCCATGGATATGAAGCTCTTTACTGAAAAGTAACTACTTATGTTCTAACAACAAAAAGTATTGTTTTAACCAAAAGAGATTTTAGTATCCTCCTATCATAGTGATCAAATACATTCTTTTAAACAAAAGCGAAATTAATTCTTCTCAAGATAGTGACTGGACAGAGTCTAACGCAGCCAACTTAATCTATATATAAAAGCAGCTTTCCTCACTTTGTCAGCAAATAAGCATTCCTATACTTGATTGCAAACTTGATACCAAAAAAAAAAAAAAAACAGAAATGAAAAGAAGGCAACCATTCATAGAACAGTTCAATGAAAGCATAATATCATTCATACAGGTCAGAATTAGCCTATACAGTATAAGAATCTTCAAAGTTAGCTGGTCAGATTTGATAAATCTTGGTTAGTAGTGATTTCTAAAAGAACACTACCAATTAATCCTTAGGTTTACCTGTAAGTTCAGGAAAATAGCATTAACAGAATTGTGTATGGAAGCAGATTAAACTTAATGTTGGCTTGGAAATATCCACTAATTTTTTTTGGTGCAATTTAAATTGTTAATAATATAGCATCATGCAATATGTTCAAAAAAATTTAATAGTAACATAGAACAATAAATGAAATTGGTCAAAGAAATTACCTCTTGACTCGAGCACATATCTGCAAAAAATAAGATTATAAGAAAGGAAAATTAGGCAACTTAGAATAGTAAGGGAGGTATATTGTACACACACTTTCTTCTCCCTAGAAGAAAAAGGAAGGTAAACTGTACACATGTTTCTTCTCCCTCTTCCCTTACACTCTGTTATCTAAGAACGACATTGCATATAAGGAAGGTTCAAGCATGCTAAACACACACTTTTATTATTTTAAGCAGTGATAATCTATACAACAAGGGTAAACAGGGAAGAAAAAAAGTAGAGAAAAGGTTCAACCTAAGTGTACACTAAAGAAATAGGTTTAAATCAACAATTCCATGTTATAAAATGACCCTAAGATCTGTAGGACCCTAAAAGTTTCTTGAGCTACCAAACCTTTGATAATCAAACCATAGTGATAATAAATTGACATTTGTTCTTAGATTGATGAAATGAACAATAGATAGCTTGAAGAATACAAAGAATATAGATGAGGAATCGAAACATGCTGGAAGAACTTGATATGAAAAGATGAATTGAAAGATCATGATTAAAGAAAAGTGCAGAACCTAGAATCCTTTACGTTATTGCTAGAAGAGCTTGAAAACAAGTAGTAAATTGATTTAGAAATAGAATGTATCTATTAATTAATCTAGGAGAAATTAGAAAAGTGGTCCCTTAGGAAGACACATATCTATGAAAGAAATAGGACCCCGAAAGAAAAGAAGATGCTAAAGGAAGAAAACCAAAAATGGTAGCATTACCATGATAACCAAACTAAAGCATTAACCTGACCTCAAATTTGTCATCAATTCTATTTCATATTTTCCAATACTAAAAGAAGCATAAAGGCTTAGCACAGCAAGAAAGCAGAAAAATTACCTGTAGACATCTTTTGCCATGTTGGTAAGAAATCATGCTTAATTTCCATGCAAAATCTAAAAAATATTGCAAAAATAACAGCTGAATAAAATTTCAAGTGGAACAAAAACTAGCATGGAAACAAAGAACAGATATGACATTTTTACCATCTTACTATTCAAGCTTTAGTAATACTAATCAACAAAATTGATAAAAATAAAGATAATAATAATAATAATAATTATAATAAAACTAAGTCTGCTTAAAACTAATAACCTAAAAACTATAAATTGACGATGTCCCGGACAGTCCTATATCAATATCACATTGCACAATTCCGAAAGGTGGAACTTTTGTTTAGATGTGGAGCTGAGAATGAAAATTCTAGAAAATAAAGGTATGCAATTGAAATGTCCCATTGTATCTTTTAAAGGATGCTCTGCATGACCAAAAAATATAATAATTAAAAAAAGTAAAAAGGGAAACAGAAAAGGAGAGCACAGCAGAACTCTACTCTTTAACTTAATCACAAATAACAAACAAATTACATAATAATAATTAAGCACCTGAATTATCAAATAATTAGTTAGTTACAACCATTGAACTACTGAATTCACAATGGATTGTCAAAGATGAAATCAGCTTACCCCAAAAGCAAAAGTAGAAAGCAAATCCACCACTCCACCTATTTGACTTTTCCTTTCCCCCTTTTCATCTGTCACTGCTGCCTTGTCTTCCTATCAGCCTCGGAGAACATGCTTAGCCAAGGAAAAATCCAAAAGCAACAGGATCGATGTATACATCCATAGGCTCTGATTCATTCAATAAAAAAACAAAAAGAGAAGAAGAAGCTTTCCATTGATTCATCCAAGAAATAGAACCATGTAGTACATTTACAACCATAAGACATGTAAAGCTTCTCCTTTAAAACAGAGGCTGCAAATCAAATAAACTCTCAACAAATTTAGTCAAAGAACAAAGCATGCCAGCACTACAATAAACGACATCATTCAAATGATGCCTTAACCGAAATAGGAAAACCTTAGATTCTCATGATATAATTGCACCGATTACATCATTAATTGGGTGTTCTATTGATAACAATAATGGCCACTTAAGGCCTCTTATTATAATCATGTCAGCATGGGGATTCTGGAGAAAGTTTGAAACACAAACTCAATAAATTTTTAACACCCTTGTCCACTAATCACACCCATGACTTCAGATTAATTTTAAGAATTTTCTTTGTCTCATTACTGACTGAGTAACTGGGAAAGAAACTGCTTTGTTAAGGCCTCTCGTTTTCAACTTTTCTATACATTCCCACACAGAGTTTTGGCTTCACTTACAAAAAGTGAAATTGAAATTAACTTATAGTCATTCCTTAACATAGTGCTCAATAATGCTCTACATATAATATAACCACATGAATCACATGTGAAGTTGTTCTATCTTCATGCTTCCATCAACACTGATGACTGGATGCTTCTTGCTAGAGGAAAAAGTCTAAAGAGAACTTTGAAGGATTATCCATGGTGATTCCTTCCACAAAAATTGGAATTTAGCATATCTGGAGGTAACTATCTCACTATACTTTCTTTCTTTTTTCACCTTTTTATTAATAATTTGTGTCGTTTAATATATAAAACAAAGCACTTTTCACTCATTAGCTTCTCTTGGCATTAAAAAAATTAACAAATAATAAATAAATAAACTAATATAAGAGATGCTCTGAGCTAACAATAGAGAATTAAACAAAGTACATAATTTGGTTTCAAGAAAATCAGGAATTGCAGAACAAATCAAACAATTCACAATTCAATTGCTTCCATAAACTAATAAGAAGTGATAATTTCGATTAACATACCAGGTTCAAAGAGAACTGGGATTGGAGGCAAAACTGAGAAATCACGTTTCCTTTTTCCAGACCCCTGCCCTGAAAATACGCTCAGCCAAGTATCCAACAGTTGGCAATCCCAAGGGCCATCAACCCTTAAACCGAAAGCCAAGGGCCGGTGTAGGAACAGTCTAGAAACAGTCAGCAAACAGTCTAGGAACAGAGCATTGTGCTTCAAAACAGTGGAGAAATTCCCAAAAGAGACCATTGAACAGTTGAAAAATGAGGGGTTTTTTTTGGGGAACCAGTTGGAATGGAGCAATGAATGGCATCGTCTTTCTTTTGAAATGACAAAGAAGATGATGAACATTTCCAGAGTTTAAGGGTAAATATGGGGAAAACGACATACAGGACAGTGAACAAGGTAGCCACAGTACCAGGCTTTTGTAAAATAGTGTGAAAAGATGCTTAACCCATACAATAAAGCACTGTTAAAAAGGAATTTTCAGGAGGCCACACACTAGAGGTTGGGGCCAAAAATGTTGAACAGTCTAAGCACTGAGCGAGCCCTTTGAAAAAATGGAGGAACTGACATAAAACCCAGTCAAATAAACATTGTTTAAGGGCTTTTTTAAAGATTCATAGGACTGAGCTTTTATATTTTTTGGTTGATGATGCTCCATCCCACTTTTCTCAATCATCTGTCAGGGAAAAAAGAGAGAAAATGGCCAAAAAAAAAAAACCTCTTCTAAACAACAAAGTTATTCCAGAAAAGTACATAGCTAAGATAGTGAATAGTATACTTTGATTGTTATAAAGTACCTCTGTCCCAAGTCAAGAAGTTATTTGCAAATTAAATATAACTAGTGAGGCCTGAATCTGTTAAGAGTAATTTTCAAATTCAAATTGGGAAGAAAAGTACCAGATTAGGGCCAAACAGTTTGACATAAAAGGAAACTCAAAGAAAAAGGCTTAAATAAAATCCCACCACACCTTTGTAAATAGAGGCAAAAAACCATCCATCCTTATTTCTTCTCTCCTCCTGACTGCAGCAGAGAAGAAACACGAATAGAGAAAATCAGCATTTAAGAAAATTAACAAATTTATTTGCAAGACTCAATCAAAATTCAATTTAGAGCAGATCTATGGTAATTATGCCCTTTTCTCTTACCTAATGCACTATCCAATATCATTTTCCCTCTTTCTCTG